GCTTTCTGTTTCTAGATTGCCCATGTTATGGCTAGTAACATAGCCATATTATTCCTGTACAATCAATATACAGGAAGATTCTTTTCACCTTTTTGCTATTATAAACAGCACTGCAGCGAATATCCCTGTACATACTTCCTTATGTGCCAAAATATTTCTCATGTGCTCATATGCATAATACTCATTTGCTATGAGTATTTTTCTAGCATGGCTACTTAGAGTGAAATTGTTGGATACGCATATTTTATGTTTTAATAGTTACTGCCAAATTATTTACCAATTTTAATTTTCAGTGAGTCCTACCAGAATCTCTGATACAACTTTTCTCAACTCTACTTAAACTCACACGTCACTCAGTCACTCTCATTTTTTCTTTTCTTTTCTTTTTTTTTAACATCTTTATTACAGTATAATTGCTTTACAATGGTGTGTTACTTTCTGCTTTCTAACAAAGTAAATCATCTATACATATACATATATCCTCACATCTCCTCCTTCTTGCATTTTCTCATTTTTTCTTTTACTTTTTTTTTTTTTTTGGTGGGGGTGTGTACGTGGGCCTCTCACTGTTGTGGCCTCTCCCGTTGCGGAGCACAGGCTCCGGACGCGCAGGCTCAGTGGCCATGGCTCACGGGCCCAGCCGCTCCGCGGCATGTGGGGTCTTCCCAGACCGGGGCACGAACCCGTGTCCCGTGCATCGGCAGGCGGACTCTCAACCACTGCGCCACCAGGGAAGCCCTCATTTTTTCTTTAACATTGCCTTTGCTTCTCCAAGAAGATGGAGAACATCCATTGTGACTTTCCCACTGAATTTTCCTTCTTCCAGGGCAGGCGGGGCCAGGCAGCCTAATCACTTACCAGATGTTGAGAAATTGGGTGGCTCATGTCCACTGAGGTAGTCAGCCATTCAGAGATTGGGCAGCATTAGTCAAAAAAACAAACCAAACCACACCTATTGGTCCTTTTCAAATGTGGTCAGAAAGTCAATGACACATTTCCATTTCAATCACAACATTCGTGCCCAGGTGCAAACAATTGTTTCAGCCAGTTTGATACCTGAGGCCTATAGATTTTTACTATTTTAGAAGATGGCCTTGTAACAAAGTGGTGTTTGCTTAGGACTTCGGGCCTGTGAAGGAGATTGTCCTGAGAACATATTGCTAAGATCAACTTTCTTGTCCCCTTCACCCAATGATTTCTGTTCTTCTCTTACACACAAGTCCTCCTCTCCCTTCTTACTCCTGCCTCTTCATCCAGACCCTTCTCACCAGCTTTTAACCATCTGTGGCTCCCTAGTTACTTAGCCTCGGCAGGCCCTTCTCTCTTCCATCCATTTCACCGAGCTAAAACCTTTACAAAGCGCAATCTGGTTTTGATTTACTCCTGCTTAAAATACTTTCTTATTATCCAGACTCTTTCTCCTGTCATTCAAAGCCCTCCATGATTTATCCCCAAACCATCTTTTAAAACTTATTTTTTCCTTCTCCTTTGCTGATCATCTACTTAGCAAAACAACAACAACAAAAAGTTGCTTCCCGCTGCATAGCACAGGGAGATCAGCTCGGTGCTTTGTGACTGCCTGAAGCGGGGGGATAGGGAGGGTGGGAGGGAGGGAGACGCAAGAGGGAAGAGATACGGGAACAAATGTATATGTATAACTGATTCACTTTGTTATAAAGCAGAAACTAATAACAACAAAAAAATCTAACTCTGTCATTTACTAGATGTGTAGCTGTAGAAAAATTAGTCACTTTGCTTCATTAATAAAATAAAGATAGTAATAACTAAAAAAAAAAAAAAAAGTTGCTTCCCTCAACTTTTCTGCCTCTCCACCCTTCTCATGGCCTGAAATGCCAGAGGAGCCCTTGTCCTCAAAGGTGGGCTACTCCTTGAGGCTTCTACTGTCATCCTCATGCTTCACCTAAATAAGTGTCACCATTACTGAGGGGCCAATGACAGGTAGTAGAACAGAAAAGGGAAAACAGAAGTCAGATGTTGGGCTGGTTCTCAGTGCAATGGCTGGATTGAGTGTAATCTAAATAAAGGTTAAACAGATTCTATGTGAGGGATAGTAATGTGTTTTCAGCTCTACAGTCTAAAACAAAGTGAGAATGTAATCAAATTACAGCTTTATTAAAATGTTAGGCTATAGCAAATCTCTAGTCGGCTCTACCCAAGTGCAGGCATCAATCAGGAAATGGCCTACTACGTAACCCATGAATTGTTTGTAACTCAGAAACTTTCAGTGCAATGAAGCTAACCCCATATGTATTAGTAACTAATATATTTTAGTCTATATTATTTATAGTAATTCATACATGAAAATGATACTTTTGGGTCTCAATAGAACATGTACATTCAGCTGATTTTTTAAGATAAGGATAAATTTTATATAATTTTCTTTATACTTTTCTGCCTGGTCCCTCTTGTGACTAATGATATACACTTATGGGTAGGCTAATGGAAGTTAACAAAGTAATCCTGGCTATTTTGGGCCAGTTTTTTCTTTTCTTTAAGGATAATTGTTCAATATTGGGATTGAATCTCTAAAAATCTCTAAATGAGCTTTTAGAATTTATTTCTCATAATGAAAAATTGGAAGCCAACTCGATGTCCAAGAGTAGTAGATTTATTCCATACACATAGCATATCAAGATTGCAGTAAAAGGCTATGAAGTCTATAGCAATATCGAAAAAAGTTTGTGATGTACTCTTAAGGAAAGTTAAAAAGCAAACCCATAAATAAACTTAACTTTATATATATATGGACCACGAACTTGTCAGGATGGTAGACTTTCAAGTAATTTTATTTATTTAAAATTTCTTTTAAAGTTACAATAATGAGTTATACTGGCTCTACTGCCCCTAGCTGAGTAGTGAGAATTGGAGCAGAGGAGGATAATTCCTTCTTCTCTTATCCCAGGATGGAGGCTGGAGAGGTTCCCCAAGCCGGGAAGAGAACAATTGCAAACAAGTAGAAACTGCCCCAGTTGCTCTCGAGGAGCCTGGTTTAAACAAACACTTGTAAGAGAAACCTGAAGCTTCAGCACAGGGTAGAATTCATCATAGCTTCCCCAGCCACTGTAAACACACCCAGGATTATCTTATAAGGGGGCAAAGAAAACCAGCAGATGGGATTAGAAATGTGGGAAATGGGAGAATTACTGGGAATTTAGAGATGTGCAAATGGTGATTTACTTTCCAAATATTTTAAAGGTGAATTTTGGAATGCTTGAAACACTTGATAGCCCGTGAATTAGATGTTGAATTTCAACAAAATTTAAGAGAAAATTTTAATTGAGTATTTTGTAATCCTTGATCAGAGGGTGATGTACATCGAGAACACTAGACTGGGAAGGAAGTTGGAGATAGAAGCCTAGCTGGCTTGGAATCCTCATGGGTTCGCTAAGAACAGTCTATGTCAAGTTGCCTGATTTTTTCTGATAGGATTAAGGTAAAATAGGAGAGGGATGTTGTAGACCAGTGCTCTTCAGACTTGAATGTGGAGAGGAAATCACTTGGGGGAATCTCCAAAGTTTCTGATTCAGTAAGCATAAGTCTATTTTTTCCAAGATTCCCATGTAATTTTCTTGTTCAATCTCATAAAAATCAACAGCTTTAGACATTGCATCACCAGTCACAAGATCATTAGAGTTTTGATTACAACACAGATATATTTGCAACTAGTTGAATCTTTATTTAATCCTAGATGAAGTTAATTACTTCCACCTCTGTACAACTTCCATACCTTGCACATACTTCTATTATTGCATTTTCTATCTTTGTGTGCCTTAGCTTCTCCTACCCATGCCCTCCTCACCCACACACCCTCGCTGGACTTTGTATGCCTGGTTACTTGCTTTTGAACTGAATTAAACACTGACTTGCTCTGAGTTTCTGAGCTTCGGGCTCTCACTTGTCTATGGACATGATAATACCTTCTCTATCTCCTTTGGCAAGGATCAAATAAGAAGCCTGAAGGAGTGTCTAGAACCTGATGTAAACCGGTAAGCTTAGGTTCTAGGCTGCTCTCTGCTAAACCTGATGTGACCTCAGACAAGTCATCTGAAGTCTCTGACCCTCTCTCTCTTTTACCAAAAGGTTTTAAAAATATGAAATGCAGGGTTAGTGTGGGAGGGGTAAATTAAGAGTTTGGGTTTAACATATATACACTACTATTTATAAAATAGGCAAACAACAAGGTCCTACTTTATTGCACAGGGAACTCTACTCAATCTCTTGTAATAAGCTATAAGGGAAAAGGATGTGAAAAAGAATATATATATATATTTATATATATATATATATATATATATATATATAACTGAATCACTTTGCTGTATACTTGAAACTAACACAACATTGTAAATTAACTATACTTCAATTAAAAAAATATGAAGTGCTAAATAAACTTGAGAGTTTCATTATTAATGATATGAAAATACATTACCGTTTAATTTTGCAAAATTAACACCCAAAATTAATTGAACAGCATTTATTAATATGTCAATAAATTTTACATGAATTCTCCCCACTGGTCATGTTTCTTATGAATGTCTGAGAGGGGTCCAATATATAAGCATTGCTCACTGGTAGATGATTTGCACCTGGTATATATGCTAAATTTCCATCCTGTGGCATGATTCTAGCTGGGAACCATAATTCTGCAGCCTTTGTTGCAGCTGAGGTATGTGGGAATTGCTCTTTTCCATGTTGCGCAAACCCGTTGTGAAAGCAGAGTGCCATCAGCACTGCCTATTCATCTCTCTCGAGAATTATAGTTTTTAACCCTCTTTGGCTTTGGCCAGAGAAAGAAGCCAATGAAAGAAGCATGTTGACTTTGCCTGCTGCCTCCAGGGCCACCTTATCCCACTGGGCTGTGAAATCAGCATTCCTGTGATGACTATCTCCTTTGTACCATTCTTTGCCTAAACATTCTTTTCAAAAGTGAATTTCAGAGAGAATAGATAAAAACAACTTTTTTTTTCTTTTTCTTTTAGGGTTAATCTGCCTAACTGAAGACTTTTACTGAAGAAAGTTTAGCTAACAACATACAAGTATTCATGTCTCAAGGACCCAGAGAAAGGTGAGTTGGAAACAGTAATGGCCTGAGAGAGCTGGTGGGTTAAGAACATGGACTCTGACAACCTGGGCTCTTATTCTGTCTTGACTACCTTTTTGCTGAGTGACCTTAGGTAAGTTAGTCAGCTGTCCGAGGATTAAAGGAGGCAATCAGTTCTGTTAGAATCTACACTGGTAGGAGCAGAAATCTTTGCTTTGTCCCTCAAATGTACTCCAAATGCCTAGAGAAGTTCCCTGCACATAGTAGGTGCTCAGTTGATGTTTCTTGAATGAATAGCTTCCTCCCAGAGTGACAGAAAATGCCTAGGCTTTTCTCTAAGTTTCTTCAAAGTGTTTCTCCACATTCTCTGAAGGTGCTGCTTCACTGGAATGTTGTTACTGTTCTCCAACAGTTAACTGACCCCAGCATTTTGTTTATTAAGCCAGACAGAAACTAGCAACTCAGTTAAGAGTCTAAACACTCGGTGGACTTTCCCACCATCTGAAGTGTTTATGGACTTACTTGAACTAAAGTAGATGCAACAATTTGAAACTTCAACCAAGTTTAGTCCTTTTATTTTAAATTTTACTGTTTACAAAACAAGATATTTTATGGATGTAATTTATACATCGAATAGAAGAGGGTTATTCCCAATATTATCTTTATCTTCTAGACATAAATAACAAACAACTCCAGTAATCAAAATTTACTATAATTGTAATAGATTTTGACAGAGTTTATGTATTGTATGCAGTGCTAACAATGCTGACTTCCAAGGACAGAGGCCAGGATTTCTAGTTTGGCTTTGTTAAATGGAAAAAAAATTTACTACTGTATTTGTAGTTTGTACTACATTCAAGAGATTAATTTTTATCAATAAAATTGTTTATACCGGCTTCTAATCAGAAAACTGAAATTATCTGTGGCAATGTAACCACTAACAACTTATATACTATGAAAATATTTCAATAATTAATGCATGCTCCATTGAGAGTAATTGACAGGAGGTCATAAACGTAATGGGCCATCTGTGTTTGATTTGTACATGAAAATGCTTAAAGGGATAGGCAGGTAGTTCAAGCTTCTCTGACAAAAAAGATTTGTTCCAGTTTCTCCAAGTAGCACAGCCATTTACTATAGGGTGTTTTTCTCTTTCCTTCTTTTTTCTTAAAGTCTTTTCCAGATTGCTACTTGAGCTCTGCATTTCTCACCGCTTCTCATTCTGATGCAACAATCTCTTTTAGAGTTTTGATGCGTATGTGGATCACAGCCATCCTCAGCAATCATACTTGGCTCTCCTAACCATTTCAATAGCAACTTAAAAGCCACACATGTGATTAAAAAAGTATCAGAGGCTCACTCCAATGCTATGACTTATCATTCATTCTGCTCACTCTGATCACTTTAAAAATTTATTTTGCAAATTTGTCTTCTTCTGTCAGTAAACAAACAACCCTTCTTATATCTGTTAAAGAGTAATAGGACCATTAGGAATCTCAGTAAGATTTCTGTAATTCACTCCTTTTGGAGTGGACCAGAATTGTCCTATTTCTGGAACTAAAATGGTCTTGGTGGACATCAGAAGAGGTTCTAGAATTTTCTGGGTAAGGAAACCAAAGAGCATGAATAATTGCCTAGAACATTGTCCTGAGATCCAGACCCAATTCACACAAAAACACATAGTCAACTGGAATTTACTAACCATTTATCATCTGCCAGATAATGTGCTAAACAATGATTACGTTGAACTAAACGAACAGGGTGGTGGGGTGGTGGTGGTGGCATGAATTGGGAGGTTGGGATTGACATATATACACTAATATGCATAAAATAGATAACTAATAAGAACCTGCTGTAGAGCACAGGGAACTCCACTTCTCTGTACAGTAGAAACTAACACAACATTGCAAAACAACTATACCCCAATTAAAAAAGAAAAATACATATCATTTTAACCTTTTTAAAATAAAATAATAAATAAATAAATAAATAAACCAACAAAGTCGCTACCCTCAGAAATCTCACATTCTAGTAAATGCAACTTCTTCCTTTGATATCTTATAGGCACCATAAACTCTATACCTAGAAAACTAAATGTGTTATCTCTCCTGACCACCCCACCCCTTTCTTTCTGTATTGCCTATTTTGGGAAAATGTGCCACTATCTACCCAGTTACCCAAGGCAAGAACCTACGATTCTCCTAGATTCTTCCCTTCCTCTTTCTCCTTCACCAGAACAATTCACAATTTCTGTCAATACTAGCTCCTGACCACTGCTTGACTCTGCTTCTGTCTCACCATCCCTATAGCAATACCCTCAATTCACTTCTTAATACTTTTCGTCTGAAACATCGCAACAGTCTCCAAAATTACATTCTTTCCATCTATATTTCATACTATTTCCAGAATGATATTTTAAACATTAAAATGCTAATACAATGATGTCATTTCCCTGTAAAAATCCTTGCGGTAAGAGCTTCAATTGTCTTGAAGACGAAACCCAAACTTCTTAACATGGCAGAAAGGAAAACTTCTGCTAACGTGCACTGGGCCTGATTCTACAGGACCTCTTCTTGCCATCTGTCCTGCTCTTTAGTCACACAGAAGTGTATTCCCTGAGCACATCGTGATACCTCAGTGTCTTTGAACATGCAGTTTCCTCTCCGTGGAATCCTTGGAATTCTTTTTTTTTTAACAACTTTGTTGGAGAATAATTGCTTTACAATGTTGTGTTAGTTTCTGCTGTATAACAAAGTGAATCAACTATACATATACATATATTCCCATATCTCCTCCCTCTTGAGTCTCCCTCCAACCCTCCCTATCCTACCCCTCTAGGTGGTCACAAAGCACCCAGCTGATCTCCCTGTGCTATGCGGCTGCTTCCCACTAGCTATCTATTTTACATTTGGTAGTATATATTATATAAGTCCATGCCACTCTCTCACTTCGTCCCATCTTACCCTTCCCCCTCCCCGTGTCCTTAAGTCCACTCTGTACGTCTGTGTCTTTATTCCTGTCCTGCCCCTAGGTTCTTCAGAACCATTTTATTTACTTAGATTCCATATATATGTGTTAGCATACAGTATTTGTTTTCTCTTTCTGACTTACTTCACTCTGTATGACAGACTCCAGGTCCATCCACCTCAATACAAATAACTCAATTTTGTTTCTTTTTATGGCTGAGTAATATTTCATTGTATATATGTGCCACATCTTCCTGACCCATTCATCTGCCGATGGACACTTAGGTTGCTTCCATGTCCTGGTTATTGTAAATAGAGCTGCAATGAACATTGTGGTACATGACTCTTTTTGAATTATGGTTTTCTCAGGGTATATGCCCAGTAGTGGGATTGCTGGGTCGTATGGTACTTCTATTTGTAGTTTTTTAAGGAACCTCCATACTGTTCTCCATAGTGGCTGTATCAATTTATATTCCCACCAACAGTGCAAGAGTGTTCCTTTTCTCCACACCCTCTCCAGCATTTATTGTTCGTAGATTTTTTGATGATGGCCATTTTGACAAGTGTGAGGTAATACCTCATTGTAGTTTTGATTTGCATTTCTCTAATGATGAGTGATGTTGAGCATTCTTTCATGTCTTTGTTGGCAATCTGTATATCTTCTTGGGAGAAAGATGTCTATTTAGGTCGTCCACCCATTTTTGGATTAGATTGTCTGTTTTTTTGATATTGAATTGCAATGAGCTGCTTGTAAATTTTGGAGGTTAATCCTTTGTTAGTTGCTTCATTTGCAAATATTTTCTCCCATTCTGAGGGTGGTCTTTTCATCTTGTTTATGGCTTCCTTTGCTGTGCAAAAGCTTTTAAGTTTCATTAGATCCCATTTGTTTATTTTTGTTTTTATTTCTATTTCTCTAGCAGGTGGGTCAAAAAGGATCTTGCTGTGATTTATGTCACAGAGTGTTCTGCCTATGTTTTCCTCTAAGAATTTTATAGTATCTGGCTTTACATTTAGGTCTTTAATCCATTTTGAGTTTATTTTTGTGTATGGTGTTAGGGAGTGTTCTAACTTCATTCTTTTACATGTAGCTGTCTAGTTTTCCCAGCACCACTTATTAAAGAGGCTGTCTTTTCTCCATTGTATATTCTTGCCTCCTTTATCAAAAATAAGGTGACCATATGTGAGTGGGTTTATCTCTGAGCTTTCTATCCTGTTCCATTGATCAATATTTCTGTTTTTGTGCCAGTACCATACTGTTTGATTACAGTAGCTATAGTAGTATAGTCTGAAGTCAGGGAACCTGATTCCTCCAGCTCCGTTTTTCTTTCTCAAAATTGCTTTGGCTATTCGAGGTCTTTTGTGTTTCCATACAAATTGTGTTCTGACTCTGTGAAAAATGCCGTTGGTAGTTTGATAGGGATTGCATCAAATCTGTAGATTACTTTGGGTAGTATAGTCATTTTCACAATGTTGATTCTTCCAATCGGAGAACATGGTATATATCTCTCCATCTGCTTGTATCATCATTAATTTATTTCATCATTGTCTTATAGTTTTCTGCATACAGGTCTTTTGTCTCCTTAGGTAGGTTTATTCCTAGGTATTTAATTCTTTTGGCTGCAGTGGTAAATGGGAGTGTTTCCTTGATTTCTCTTTCAGATTTTTCATCATTAGTGTATAGGAATGCAAGAGATTTCTGTGCATTAATTTCATATCCTGCTACTCTACCAAATTCGTTGATTAGCTCTAGTAGTTTTTTGGTAGCATCTTTAGGATTCTCTATGTATTGTATCATGTCATCTGCAAACAGTGACAGCTTTACTTCTTCTTTTCTGATTTGGATTCCTTTTATTTGTTTTTCTTCTCTGATTGCTGTGGCTAAAACTTCCAGAACTATGTTGAATAATAGTGGTGAGAGTGGACAACCTTGTCTTGCTCCTATTCTTAGTGGAAATGGTTTCAATTCTTCACTGTTGAGAATGATATTGGCTGTGGGTTTGTCATGTACGGCCTTTATTATGTTGAGGTAAGTTCCCTCTATGCCTAGTTTCTTGAGGGTTTTTATCATAAATGGGTGTTGAATTTTGTTGAAAGCTTTTTCTGCATCAATTGAGATGATCATATGTTTTTTCTCCTTCAATTTGTTAATATGGTGTATCACGTTGATTGATTTGCGTATATTGAGGAATCCTTGCGTTCCTGGAATAAACCCCACTTGATCATGGTGTATGATCCTTTTAATGTGCTGTTGGATTCTGTTTGCTAGTATTTTGTTGAGGATTTTTGCATCTATGTTCATCAGTGTTATTGGCCTGTAGTTTTCGTTCTTTGTGACATCTTTGCCTGGTTTTGGTATCAGGGTGATGGTGGCCTCGTAGAATGAGATTGGGAGTGTTCCTCCCTCTGCTATATTTTGGAAGAGTTTGAGAAGGATAGGTGTTAGCTCTTCTCTAAATGTTTGATAGAATTCGCCTGTGAAGCCATCTGGTCCTGGGCTTTTGTTTGTTGGGAGATTTTAAATCACAGTTTCAATTTCAGTGCATGTGATTGGTCTGTTCATATTTTCTATTTCTTCCTGATTCAGTCTTGGCAGGTTGTGCCTTTCTAAGAATTTGTCCATTTCTTCCAGGTTTTCCATTTTATTGGCTTAGAGTTGCTTGTAGTAATCTCTCATGATCTTTTGTACTTCTGCAGTGTCAGTTGTTACTTCTCCTTTTTCATTTCTAATTCTATTGATTTGAGTCTTCTCCCTTTTTTTCTTGATGAGCCTGGCTAATTGTTTATCAATTTTGTTTATCTTCTCAAGAACCAGCTTTTAGTTTTATTGATCTTTGCTCTTGTTTCCTTCATTTCTTTTTCATTTATTTTGTATTTGATCTTTATGATTTCCTTCCTTCTGCCAACTTTGGGGATTTTTTGTTCTTCTTTCTCTAATTGCTTTAGGTGCAAGGTTATTTTGTTTTTTCGAAATGTTTCCTGTTTCTTAAGGTAGGATTTTATTGCTATAAAATTCCCTCTTAGAACTGCTTGTGCTGCATCCCATAGGTTTTGGGTCATTGTGTTTCATTGTCATTTGTTTCTAGGTATTTTTTGATTTCCTATTTGATTTCTTCAGTGATCTCTTGGTTATTTAGTAGTGTATTATTTAACCTCCATGTGTTTGTACTTTTTGCAGATTTTTTCCTGTTATTGATATCTAGTCTCATAGCATTGTGCTCAGAAAAGATACTTGATATGATTTTAGTTTTCTTATATTTACCAAGGCTTGATTTGTGACCCAAGATATGATCTATCCTGGAGAATGTTCCATGAGCACTTGAGAAGAAAGTGCTTTCAGTTGTTTTTGGATGGAATGTCCTATAAATATCAATTAAGTCCATTTTGTTTAATGTATCATTTAAAGCTTGTGTTTCCTTATTTATTTTCATTTTGGATGATCTGTCCATTGGTGAAAGTCGGGTGTTAAAGTCCCCTACTACGATTGTGTTACTGTCGATTTCCCCTCTTATGGCTGTTAGCATTTGCCTTATGAATTGAGGTGCTCCTATGTTGGGTGCATAAATATTTACAATTGTTATATCTTCTTCTTGGATTGATCCCTTGATCATCATGTAGTGTCCTTCTTTGTCTCTTGTAATAATCTTTATTTTAAAGTCTATTTTGTCTGATATGAGAATGGTTATTCCAGCTTTCTTTTGATTTCCATTTGCATGGAATATATTTTTCCATCCCTCATTTTCAGTCTGTATGTGTCCCTAGGTCTGAAATGGGTCTCTTGTAGACAGCATATATACAAGTCTTGTTTTTGTGTCCATTCAGCCAGTTTTTTCTGCATTTTCTCGATTTTCTGCATTTCCTCGGTTATCAGTGGCCTTTTTGTGGGAAAATTCCTGGTTCCTTCTATGGCACCATGGCTCAGATCTGTGTCCCTGCCTCAGGTGGCCACCAGTCCCTGTATGTGGCATATTTGTTGAATAGGAGGTGTTGAAAGACATTCACCATTTGCCCAGCATGCGAAGTCTGGTCCAAGACATGACAGTTTAAGGGCAGTTCTCATGAGTCATTGTCTTTAAGTGGGGTTGGCAACAATGTGGTTACTCTGTTTTTTCTTCCATCCTGTTATTTATTTAGAACCTCTTCTTCTCTTTTGGAAATGATTTCTTTCATTTGGACATGATTCAATATTTCAGCAGGTAGACCCTATTCTTCTCTTTTCCAGGCTAATGTTTCTTAAATGTTTTTCATTTTTAAATACTTCTTCATATTCAGTTATGTCAGTTCTTATAGCACTTATTTACAAATATATGGCTTTTAATAGCCTTCACCTGTGCTTTTCATGTTTTCCAAAAGCCTCTGATAAAGGTACAAGAAACAAATTCATTTTGTTGTAACTTTTGTATATTTTTTCTATCCATAGTTTAATTTTTTAAGTTTACACTTAAAACTTCTTAAGTTATCACTTAAGTGATATGAAAAACTAGCCAAATATCTCAATGCTATCTATGTAAAAACCTATGCTTTTGACCCACCTCCTAGAGAAATGGAAATAAATACAAAAATAAACAAATGGGATCTAATGAAACTTAAAAGCTTTTGCACAGCAAAGGAAGCCATAAACAAGATGAAAAGGCAACCCTCAGAATGGGAGAAAATATTTGCAAATGAAGCAACTGACAAAGGATTAATCTCCAAAATATACAAGCAGCTCATGTAGCTCCATATCAAAAAAACAAACAACCCAATCCAAAAATGGGTAGAAGACCTAAATAGACATTTCTCCAAAGAAGATATACAGGTTGCCAACAAACATATGAAAGGATGTTCAACTTACTAATCTTTAGAGAAATGCAAATCAAAACCACAATGCAGTATCACCTCACACCAGTTAGAATGGCCATCATCAAAAAATCTAGAAACAATAAATGCTGGAGAGGGTGTGGAGAAAAGGGAACACTCTTGCACTGCTGGTGGGAATGTGAATTGGTTCAGCCACTATGGAGAACAGTATGGAGGTTCCTTAAAAAACTACAAATAAAACTACCACACGACCGAGCAATCCTACTACTGGGCATATACCCTGAGAAAACCAAAATTCAAAAAGAGTCATGTACCAAAATGTTCATCACAGCTCTATTTACAATAGCCCGGAGATGGAAACAACCTAAGTGCCCATCATCGGATGAATGGATAAAGAAGATGTGGCACATATATACAATGGAATATTACTCAGCCATAAAAAGAAACGAAATTGAGCTATTTGTAATGAGGTGGATAGACCTAGAGTCTGTCATACAGAGTGAAGTACGTCAGAAAGAAAAAGACAAATACCGTATGCTAACACATATATATGGAATTTAAGAAAAAAAAATGTCATAAAGAACCTAGGGGTAAGACAGGAATAAAGACACAGACCTACTGGAGAACGGACTTGAGGATATGGGGAGGGGGAAGGGTGAGCTGTGACAGGGTGAGAGAGTGGCATGGACATATATACACTAACAAACGTAAGGTAGATAGCTAGTGGGAAGCAGCCGCATGGCACAGGGATATCGGCTCGGTGCTTTGTGACCACCTGGAGGGCTGGGATAGGGAGGGTGGGAGGGAGGGAGACGCAAGAGGGAAGAGATATGGGAACATATGTATATGTATAACTGACTCAGTTTGTTATAAAGCAGAAACTAACACACCATTATAAAGCAATTATACCCCAATAAAGATGTTAGAAAAAAACAAAAAAACATAAAACACAATGTGGTATCACCTCACACCAGTCAGAATGGCCATCATCAAAAAATCTACAAACAATAAATGCTGGAGAGGTTGTGGAGAAAAGGCAACCCTCTTGCACAGTTGGTGGGAATGTAAACTGATACAGCCACTATGGAGAACAATATGGCGTTTCCTTAAAAAACCAAAAATAGTACTACCATATGACTCAGCAATCCCATTACTGGGCGTATACCCTGAGAAAACCATAATTCAAAAAGAGTCATGTACCACAATGTTCATTGCATCACTATTTACAATAGCCAGGACATGGAATCTACCTAAGTGTTCATCGACAGATGAATGGATAAAGAAGATGTGGCACATACATACAATGGAATGTTACTCAGCCATAAAAAGAAATGAAATTGAGTTATCTGTAGTGAGGTTGATGGACCTAAAGACTGTCATACAGAGTGAAGTAAGTCAGAAAGAGAAAAACAAATACCGTATGCTAACATTTATATATGGAATCTAAAAAAAAAAAAAAATGGTTCTGAAGAATCTAAGGGCAGGACAGGAACCAAGACACAGACATAGAGAATGGACTTGAGGACATGGGGAGGGGGAATGGTAAGCTGGGACCAAGTGAGAGAGTGGCATGGACATATATACACTACCAAATGTAAAATAGCTAGCGGAAAGCAGCCACATAGCACAGGGAGATCAGCTGGGTACTTTGTGACCACCTAGAGAGGAGGGTTAGGGATGGTGGGAGGGAGACACAAGAGGGAGGGGATACGGGGATATATGTATACATATAGCTGATTCACTTTGTTATACAGCAGAAACTATCACAACATTGTAAATACTCCAAAAAGATGTTTTAAAAAACCCCAAAACCTATGCTTTCTCCATGTTTAGTATACAGCACTTCTATGTGTAGCTAATTCTTATCATTACACTTTTAAAAAATTAAAAAAATAGAAATGGTCTATTTTTATTGGTATTACATTGGATTCATAGATCATTGTAGAATAATTGTTTTACCATTTAGGTCTTTCTATAGGTTTTATTTTAAATGTCTGGGATTGTTTGTTTGGTTTTGTTTAATTATGTCCTTTTTTTTTTAAATTAATTTTTATTGGCTATCCTAATTTTTGAAGAAAAGTTCATCAGTTCCACTGTGGCATTCTACATAATGCCAACTGACCAAATAAAAAAAAATATCACTACCACCCAATTATTAATGTATTTGACATTGTAAAGATATAATATGTTTTTTTAAGATAAATTTTAATTTTTTTCAGATTTTAAATACTTCTTCTCAAGAGGCGCAGCCCGTCTTTCTCTCCTGTAGAAGTGAAGGAAGCACCAGTTACCCTTCTGATTTTAATCAGAAAATATAAATGTAAAATATGAATTCGATAAAAATGTAAGCTTGGCTTTTACTATTTCCTGAACATGTGCTCATTATCTTTTAATAAATAAAGTGTACTTTAAGGGTGATAAGAAGAAGGAGAACTTTAAAAATTGTTAATGAATGTGGTGAACATAGGTAGTGAAGCAAAGGCGTAGTTTAAGATAAATCCCAGTAATACCAGGAAGAAAATACAGTCAGTGGTTAAGGAATCTACGTTTGTGGTTGTTTTAAAGGTGGCTGAGTGTGCCGTACTCTGCAGAAGTGACTAGAAGGGGACAGAGGACTGTGACATGGGTCACTTTTGTTTCTCTTTGTGCTCCAAGCTTAGAAGGTTGATTTTGCCTTCAACATATTGGAATAGTGGTTCTTGATTCATCCTAATGATTAGAAGAATTTTAATGTATTTTTCTGTATATCCAAACACTAAAAAAACAATATTAGACAGCTAGTCCTTGCCACCCAGATGTTCAGAGTTCAAAGCAAATAACAACATGACAGGCCAGAGGCAACTGAGCCATCTATCAAACAAATGCATGGCCTGATGAGACAGCAGATTAAAAGGCTTAACTGAGGCTAGTTTCAGCTGGTGGAGATAAGTGCCCAACTGTGTTTTCCACCAAAATGCAGTTTTTTCTATTGTTTTTGATACTATAAAAGCAATGTATACTCATTATAGAGAAAAATTAGAGTATACAAAGCAAAACTAAGAGCACCCCCAAAATGAATTTTCCCTTTCATCACAAATCAGCCATTGTGATTGCACTGCTATATATTCTTGTAAGTAAATAAAATTGCATCTTATTCTACATAATATGTTGTAACCAGCTTTTTCCATTTAATGTAGCATCAAATACATCCTTATCACTAGACTTATTTCCTTAGAATCATTTTTATGGCTTCAAGTTATTCCATTTCTGGATTTGCTAATGCATATTTAAACAATTTGCATTTATGACACGATCTGGTGGTTTCTAACTTTTCTCTATTTGAAGATATTGCTTTAAAATATGTAGAGTAAGATGTTGATTGGTGTAATCATCTCAAAGGTTTATGTGCTAGAATAAGAAACTATTGTTTGTCAAGAAAGCATATTACATGCTGCAAATCAGTTCATCACCTTAAAAAAATTAAAACATATGGAAAACTGAGAATAAGATATAAACATCAAGTTAGCTTGACTCTTTATTTTAAAAATTTGGATGTTATGTTTTATAAACAAACCAGTCCAGTGTTTGAGAGTGATGGTAAAAAAGTTTGGAAGGCGAGGTGGAGATTTTAAGGATATTAGGATAAGAGTGGGCTTTACGTGTACATATATCCCCTTTTTTGGATGTCCTTCTCATTTAAGTCACCACAAAGCCTTGAGTAGAGTTCCCTGTGCTATACAGTAAGTTCTTATTAGTTATCTATTTTATACATAGTATCAATAGTGTATATATAGCTGATTCACTTTGCTGTATGGTATAAACAAACACAATATTGTAAAGCAACTATACTCCAATTAAAAAAAAAAAAAGAGTGGGCTTTAAATGCAAACAGCTGATTGAATTATAGCTTTCTGACTGGGTCTGGTCACAGACCTCTGTGTGTAGGTGAGAATACCTAACACTATACTTGGTACCCTGTAGGCCCAGGAGAGTTGATACTCATCTAAATGAGATGGAAGAACTAGGGTCTCAGAACATGCAGAAGAGGAATGTAGACAGTGGAGGGCAAGATGGTAAGAATGTGAAGGAAATACTCAAATGACTCTTTGCGCCTGAGAAGTGGGGAGAACTTGGTGATGGAATGAGGAGAGAGAAAATGCCACCAAGTCCCATACTGCAACAGAACAGAAAGATGTGATGATAATGAGGAGGACAGCAGCTAATATATGACATTTACAATAATAATGATAACAGCAGCTCATACTTACATAGTAGTCACTATATGCCAAACAACAAGGTCTGTAAGCACTTTAAGTACTTATACTTTAAGTATATTCACCCTTTAATTCTCACCGCACCCTATCTGACCTACCTCCTATACTTGTTGTAAGGATTTAATAGGTTAATATTTGTAAAGCACATAAAATAACTCTATTTAAATGTTTGTAAATAAAGTCCTCCTTTTACTGAGGCATAGAGAAATCAAACGTCTTGTCTGAGGCCACACAGCTAGTCAATGGCAGGAGTGGGATTAGAACCTGGCCATCTGGCACCAGAGCCCATTCTGCCTTGGAGAGATCTCTGGCCGTGCAAGACAGTGATGAGCTACAGCTGCTTCTGCCCTGACTTTACTTCACCCAGAAAAGAATGCAAAAGGGCTCTACCGGGCTTCCCTGGTGGCGCAGTGGTTGAGAGTCCGCCTGCTGATTCAGGGGACGCGGGTTCGTGCCCCAGTCCGGGAGGATCCCACATGCCGCGGAGCGGCTGGGCCCGCAAGCCATGGCCGCTGAGCCTGCGCGTCCGGAGCCTGTGCTCTGCAACAGGAGAGGCCACAGCAGTGGGAGGCCCGCGTACCGCAAAAAAAAAAAAAAAAAAAAAAGGCTCTACCTCTCTCCACACTAATGACCCTCCAAGCTGAAGTACTCATCAAAAATGGGCACTCACTGGACAGCTGGTGGTTACTTTACTGCTACCCCATCTTGCCTCCTCTTGTCCACTCCCATCCCTGCAGCCCTCTTTGGGGTGAACTTAGGCACTCTCTTGAGACGTTTGGTGTACCATTATTTAGCAAAGTGGAAATGAAATATAGAACCAGCTTGTAGAAATGTCACATTACAGGGAAAGGATTTAAAATTTCCTTACCTAATCAGTGTTTCCAAGATCACCGGGTCAAGACTGGGCTAAGGTCCTCCCTTTCTTGTCCTTTTCCCAGCGCCTTTTCCACTTCCCTGGCTTCTGCCTCTCAATTATTTCCCACCCCATCACCCTGTCCCTACTGCAACAATAATGGTAATAACAATAATACTGTGAGCTCATGGCTGTGGAGCTCTTATTATGTGTCAGGCATATTCATGCATTATTTAATCCTCATAGTAGCTTTGTGAGGATAGAACTTTTTTTTTTTTTAACCTGCTTTATATGTGAATAAATTGAGGTTTGGAAAAGGTAAATCACTTGATTGGTAAGTGGAAAAGTTGGAATTGGAGCCCAGCTCTATCTTGCTTAAATCTGATGCTTTCTTCTAATAGCATCACCCCCTGAGCATTCAGTTTTCCGGCATCACCTAATTCTTGGAGATAAATGGGTAGATGTGCATAGGCTTTGCTGAATTAGATACTCTAGCAAGTTTCATGCCTTCCATAATTTTTTAAAAAAAATCCTACACGTATTTAATGAGGTTCTACATGGGCAAAAAGCTGTGCTCAGTATTTCAGGAATACAAAGAATTATTTAAAGAGGAAGAGATTCTCATTGTATGAGATAATATATACATAAAAGATTGTAATACAAATATGGCAACTATGGAGGTGTGATGCTTATTCAGCTATGAGAGTGTAGTTATAATACAGTAAAGTATATACTATATGAGACATTCAAGCAAACTTTGTACTCTTAAAAAATTATATCCTGAGATTATCTTTATTGTTTAAAAAAATAAGGATTGAAAGTAATTTTAAAATACTCAAACTAAAAAGTAAAAGAAAAATTGGACTAAAGAAGGAGGTAGTTAATAAAGATGAAAACTAAAACTTATGACGTAGAAAAAAAACATGAAAAGGGGTAGGCAAAATCAAAATTAGGTACTTTGCAAGATTAATGAACTAGATACATCCCTGTAAAGCCTGGTTAGAGAGAAAGCAAAATAAATTCAGCATTGTAAAGGAAACATAAGCACAGATATGGAGAAAACTCACTGGTAGATATTATGTGCAACTCTATAGAAATAAATTTGGAAACCTGGAGTCCGGTTTTCCTAGTAAAAATACAAACTCTTCAAATGATCACTTAAAGAATCATGAACAGATCAATTATCATTGAGACTGGAAAGTAAAAGATCTATTACTATAAAAGGCACCAGACCTAGATGGTTTTACAGATGAATTCCTTACAGTCTTTAAAAATCAATTCCAGTGTTATAGAATATCTATTCAACCATAAAAAGGAAAGGTACTAAAATCATTTTGTGAAGATAACTTCTAAAGATAGTACAGAATTTGAAGACCAATTTCTACCAAGAATTATAAACAAAATATTAGTAAATCCAATCCATCACTGTATCAGAATCATATAACACCATTACTAGAGTCTATTATCAGAATGCAAGAATGTATCTTAATCATTTCAATTTTATATAAATTGTAGGAAGGCTTCCAATCGTTTATAGTGGATGTGATGGTGACCAATGAATTCTTAATGTGTAATTCTTAAACCCTGATTCTTGAATAGCTTGGGGATTGTGAAGTAAGAGTGGAAAGTGAACGTTAGGGGAAAAGGAAAAGAGTCATTTAGCTTTGAGCAAATGCATTAGTTATTTGTGCTTATTTATTTAATTTGTAGGATATGCAGGTTGAAGAGAGGTGTGATAAATAAGGAATGGACCTGTGAAGAATATCTATGATGTTCCAAACCCTCCCTAGGTACTCTGCATATAATGTCATTTAATAGTTTAATCAGGCCTGTCTTAATATGCAGAGCATACATGTGCACGCTCACGTCAATAAAATGCCTTCTAAAAACACTTATTAAGGAACACAAACCAACAAAGCATTTTTAAAAAGTTGGTTAGGCGAGGGGCTTATACATAGAGCATTATTATAGAAATTGGCCACAAGCACTTCAAATACTTTACTGACAGATGTCATTCATGAGGCAAGAGAGACAGTAATTTTAGCTGACATGTGAGTTCATAGACCCTGACATTCCTTTACAAGCTCATTAGGATGGTTTTGCTGGTTGTAGCCACAGAGACACTAATACTCATGCTGAAAAGAAATCTCTGCTCACCATGACTTTCTCAGGCAGTCTTAATAGGGTAAGTGTCCGCTGGTTGTAGCATCTCTGAATGGAGAAACTTATAACCTCACAACGTCAGGGCAGAAGTTTCTTTTCTATCCAGCACAGTTCTATCTGAAGCTCTATCTACCCTTGGGGTCCTGGGGAGGTGCATGGATCTCAACAGGAGGGAAATCTCTGGACATATTTTTGCCATGAAGCAGTCTCTCATTATGTCCCCTTAAGGATGTTTTCTGCTTCATGTGTCTCTGGCATAGCCTGGGAGCTGGTTTCTGTTTTCTGTTTCTCTTGAGAAAGGAGATTCTGTGCTACAGTTATCTGCCTTTGCAGACCTGGTGCCTTCCTATGGGGAGGGGAGGACTCTTTCTCTGAAGAGCAACAGAGTAGAGCTCTGGCTCAAAGATATTGCTAAGAAAATTTAAACAAAGTAAACTGTGGACACCTTAGACGCTAGACTTTGTAACTTAACAAGTTAGAGTAATAACTATTAGGTCAGTGACTGTAAGTCTATCCTATAAACAATGATTATGAGATTTAAACAGGGCTTTGCCTCCCAACAGCTATGTCGGCAGCAGGTTGGTGATAGCTGTGGAGCTACCCTGTCTTTCTGCTTCATCACTTAAAGTGACAGTACCCAGCCTTCCACTCTGCATCTATCATAAAGACACATTGATTTCCTTTCTGGAGAAACACATATTTCTTTTCTCCTGCTGAAAAGATAAATCTGACAGATTTTAATCAAATGTAGTTGTTCACAACTACAGAAATGCATTCAGTGCCACATATGAAAACAAAAATACACCAGCAACTAAAGAAAGAGTTTGGTGGCCAAGTTTATTTGTAGAAAACACTTGTATTAAAACACACACACACACACACACACACACACACTCTCTCGCTCTCTCTCTCTCTCTCTCTCTATCTATCTATCTCACAAGGAACTGAAGCCTAAAAGTTGGTTATTATTATTTCTATTTTTTTTTTTTTCAGTACGCGGGCCTCTCACTGTTGTGGCCTCTCCCATTGCCGAGCACAGGCTCTGGACGCGCAGGCTCAGCAGCCATGGCTCATGGGCCCAGCCGCTCCGCAGCATGTGGGATCTTCCCAGAACGGGGCACAAACCCGTGTCCCCTGCATTGGCAGACAGACCCTCAACCACTGCGCCACCAGGGAAGCCCCACAGAGCTGATTTTTAATGGTACTTTTCTAAATTTTTGAGTCTTTGTCATATTTTGTCTTTTCTTCTCAGTACAAATGTGACTGATCACATTTTCATTAGAATGGAGAGATTGGATGTCTCTTGTTCACACCTAGTGGCAATTTCCTGCCCAGATATCTTGGCATAATATATCTTATTTCAACGACTTTACAGAGGTAAAGAAAAAAAAAGAATCCACATCATGAATGAAAGTGTGGAGATACAGTTTTAATTGACCATCAATCCAATCCTGCCTTAAATGGTCCATCTTTTCAATAAAGTTTTTTCTCTCTGT